CAATAAAAAGAATTCAATTTTGTATGAAATTAGCGCCATATATGCTGCTCACACTCAAAATGGGATACTCAGTTTATAATTCCCAATAGCAACAAACACGTAATCACTAATACTTTGTCAATTTCCCCTTTGTGCTTTATTACCTCGTGCAATCGTCGTGGCATACTTTCAATGAGTTTTCGGCAATAACTGGGCTCAATTTTTTCCATTCCTCCAATACTGCTTGTTTTAACTCTTACCTTACTTACCGCTCACGCATCTTGTAGCATGTCTTCTTTGGAGTTCTCCCAACAAATGTTCAATGGGGTTCATGTCGGGAGACTGAGCAGGCGTAGCCAGAACCTTTGGACAGTTACATAGTAACCAATTCCGAGCATTCCACGACGTATGGTTAGGGTTATTGTCTTGGTAAAATATAAAGTTTCCACGAATACCAAGTTTTTCTGCACTGCTGGAAACATTTTGTTTTAAAATGTCAATGTACCCTTTACCGGCCAAAATCCCATCGATAATGTGTACTTTGCCGACGCCAGCCCCTGGCATGCAACCGCATATCATTATTGAACCGCCAACATACTTCACCGTTTGTTTTTCTTAAGGAGTCGGCGAATCGTTTCTGCACAAACTTTTACATATTTTTCCTCTTTTAATTGTTTTTTCAAGTCTACAGCAGATAACTTGCGATTTTGTTTTGTTAAACGGAGTATAAATCTACAATTCCGGTCATCGATTTTCGCTGTCACTTAAGTTGCGTTTTTTATCACACACGTTGCCTCTTTCTTTATACCTTTTAATATTATTATGCACTGTAGACTTTTTTGCCAACAATTTTTCTGATTTCGCGAATGGACTTCTGGCCTTTGTAGTTTTTTATAATAATTTCCCGTTCTTCAATTGTTGTTTGACGCATTTTCGAAAAATGATGTTAGTTCGACAACAGTCACTGAAACACTACTGGAAATAAACAATTTGCGATTTGGTCTCAACATATAACGGTACCCAGTTGACGAATTCTAACTGTCCCATTTTGAGTGTGAGTAGCATATATGGCATTAATTGCATACAAATTTGGTTTCTGGTTATTGTTTTTGTTTTCAATGAAGTAAATTCTTACAAATGTACTTCTAACATACTAGTGTACATAAATAAATAGGAACGAATTGAAATCAATAATTATCTATTTTCTTATTTAAGTTAAAAGGTTCTATCTATGAAGTGTCCAATTTTGAATGTGACTCACTATATATATACCGATATATCGAAAGCGTTTGGTAGAGTTTGTCATAGGTTATTATTATGTGTGTGGAGGCTTTCACTCCAAGTTTCTGGTTTGGCTCAAATCTTATCTAGTCAAAAGAGTCAATTTTGTATCAGTGGATAGTGTAAAGTCTCGTTCCTCAAGGCAGCATATTAGGTCGGTTACTTTTCTTAATTTTTATTAATGATGCCAGTGCTTGTTTTAAACAATTAATCACCTCTTATATGCTTCATCATTTTAAAATTTTTAAATATGTAAAAACTAACTGATATACAGACGATTCAAAATGAATTAAATATCTTCTGCGACGGGGGTAGTCGAACTAAGCTAGAACTTAATATTAATAAGTGCTGTTTTGTGAGGTACTACAAAATACGTTCACCTCTGCAATCGTCGTATCATATTTCAGATACTACTCTAAGTTCTTACAGCTTGTTCACAGCGCGGAGCGGAAACTAGAGCTTTCCGCCTGCCACACATACAAAGTAATGACTTCGGGAACATGGCCTGTCCGACCATGATCAACAGCCTGTCCGCAGCGCGGAGCGGAAACTAGGTCTTTCCGCCCGCCGCACACAAAGAAGACTGAAGACTAGGCCTCGCCAGCTACCAAACCTGCTATTTTATATTATTATTATTATTACAAATTAATATGTATAATTAGTCTACTCTGTAATATATCACACATACTTAAATATCTAAATGTTTTATTCTCGTTTGTATGTAAGAAAACATTTTTCTGTAGACCAAATAAATAAATAAATAAATTTCCTTTCATACTAAATAAATTTCCTTAACTACATTATTCCCAAGGCATACTCGTCACTGGCTTTGATAAAGAGGAATAGCTCTGAATTTCAAGATCAATATACCAAAAAAATTTATACAATGCTTTCGTGAGATCGAAACTGGAGTATGCGTCTGTCATTTGGAATCCTTATTTTGATACTCACTCAAAAATAGTAGAGCATGTACAAAAGAGTTTTGTAAAATTTGCGTTATACCAATTGAAGTTTGATTTGCCAATTCCACCATATATTTCTCGCTGTTAATTAATTGATATTGGAAGGACTATTTCTGGGCTCATGTTTGTACATGATATTCTTAATGGTAGTATTGACTGTCCTGTATTACTACAAGTCATAAAACTGAATATTCCTTTTAGATCTTTAAGGTATTTTGAAATTTTCTCAATAGAATTTTATAAAACTAAGTATTCGCAAAATTTGCCTATTTCTAGGATGCGAATTTCACATGAACAAATATTCCCAAAAATTATAAAGCAAAACAAAAACAATTTTTCCCAATTTGTTTTTGTTTTGCATGTTAAGTTATGGGAGATTTATTCACATGGAATTGGCGATAGGGCTGAATGATTTACTGAATATAAGTGTGTTCTCCAGGCTCTGTTTTTTTAAGTTGGCCTTGAGGTCTAATTACATTTAGTATTAAGTTAAATGTTATCTAGCCTATAAGGTTCTGTAAAACTATAGACTTAAATAAATAAATAAATTATACGATTTATTTAAATAGATGCCGACTAAAGTCGTATTTTATCATTCGTATGCAAAATTATGAATAAATACACGCAAAATTGAAATTGCTAGTGCAGCATGAGCTAGTTGAAATTATTTTTCGAAAGCGATTTGCGTGGTTTCGGTTGCAGTTAAGATCGTGGCAATATTTCGAACTTTTCCACGCAGTTCGCTGCCAAATTGAGAAAGAGAAATTTAATTTCGATGTGTGAACAGTTTCAGAAATAAAAGTTGCAAGAAGTGACTGCAATTGAGAGAGCGCAAATCGATTTCGGAAATATATTTCAACTTGCTCCTGTTGCACTAGCAATTTGCAAGTCGCCTTTCGGAAATAAAAAGCCTCTTTTGAAAGACACTTCACATGCAACTGCAATTTGATAGCCTTTTCGAAAAATATTGCATTGCCACGCCTGACACGCTCTTTACACCTTTTCGCAATTTGACAGCAAACAACGTAGAAAAAGCGCTACCGTACTCACGTTCATTCGCATTTTTTATTTCAAATTTCTGTAGTCTAAAAAAACAAGAAATGAATCGATAGAAGTTTCACCTCCGTAGTGTGGCCCTGGCAAACTCATTTTACAAGTTGGTTTGTGTGATGAAGTAAAATTCGTAAACCTCAATAAAATATACAAGTCTCGAAATTATACGATTTATTTAAATAGATGCCGACTAAAGTCGTATTTTATCATTCGTATGCACAATTATTATGAATAAATACTCTCATCTTTATATAAATTGGACATTTCAATTTAAGAAGCTTCTTTAGCTAATCGTTCGGCCTTTTGGACAACCTCTTCAATTGGTCCAACCATATAGAATGCAACTTCTGGAAGATGATCATACTCGCCTGCTAAAATCTGATTGAATCCCTTAATGGTTTCCTCCAGTGGAACCAATTTTCCAGCGTGACCGGTAAAGACTTCAGCCACCTGGAATGGCTGTGACAAGAAACGCTGGATCTTGCGGGCCCGGGCAACTGTAAGTTTGTCTTCTTCAGATAGCTCATCCATACCCAAAATAGCGATGATATCTTGCAATGACTTGTAATCTTGCAAAATTTTTTGTACACCTCGTGCTACATTGTAGTGCTCTTGGCCAATGATGTTCGGATCCATGATACGCGAAGTAGAATCCAAGGGATCTACAGCGGGATAGATGCCTAGTTCCGCAATTGCACGTGACAATACTGTTGTAGCATCCAAGTGAGCAAAGGTTGTTGCTGGCGCAGGATCGGTCAAATCATCAGCGGGCACATAAATAGCTTGTACCGAAGTGATGGAACCCTTCTTTGTGGTAGTAATACGCTCCTGCATAGAACCCATATCAGTAGCTAGCGTTGGTTGATAACCTACAGCTGATGGAATACGACCCAACAAAGCAGATACCTCAGAACCAGCTTGAGTGAAACGAAAAATATTGTCAATGAACAACAATACATCCTGTCCCTCTTGATCACGAAAATATTCGGCAACAGTCAATCCAGTCAATGCAACACGAGCACGAGCGCCTGGGGGTTCGTTCATCTGTCCGTATACCAAAGCGACCTTCGAAGTTTTGTCTTTTAGTGAAATTACACCTGACTCAATCATCTCGTTGTACAAATCATTGCCTTCACGCGTGCGTTCTCCAACACCAGCGAATACTGAGTAACCACCATGGGCCTTAGCGACATTGTTGATCAACTCCATAATTAATACGGTCTTTCCGACTCCAGCGCCGCCAAACAAGCCAATCTTACCACCTTTTGCATAGGGAGCTAGTAAATCGACGACTTTAATTCCTGTCACTAAAATTTCTTGCTCGACCGACATGTCGACGAACTCAGGAGCTTCAGCGTGAATGGGCGCGGTTTTGTTAGTTGGAATAGGGCCGCGTTCATCAATAGGTTCACCTATAATATGTGAAAAATAAAGCAATTTTAGCATTAGTTTATGAGAGGGTAACAATTTGCATTCCGGAGCAGACAACAGACCATCTAAGTGCCGAAGGTAATAATTGACATTGAACATTAACGAATCACCGACGATATATTTTAATAAATTTTTTGTTAGGAAAATGCAATAGCGGAGTTGGAGAGTAATGTTGCCTGCCGGCCATTTGTTGTGTTTGCTAATTTTGTTGTTGTAACAGCAAACACATTCCCCAAAAAGTTTTTGGGGAGTGTTGCTATAGTGACAATCCTTGGCAAGATATAAGTCTGGGTCGTTCCAGTTTTGTACACCCGACTGACGGGGGAACGGCGATTTGTCATTCCCTTAATTGTGGCAACCTCTATACTATGACATATTGAGCTGTAGATGTTGTTGTTGTTATTGTAGCGGCTACAACAACCCCGCCTAGCTTGGTTAGTCTGTCAATCGTTGTCGTCAAGCTCTACTAGCGGTAGAACCAGGAAGCGTGCAGCCTCGATGGGGTCAGTCCATAAGGACAGAGGCGTTAGCAGGGTGGGGTTCAGTGGGCATGCGCAGAGATGCTTCCAGTGATGGGGCGTCTCTCCGCATGCCGGGCATTCATGTGGCACATCTGCATTTATTCTGCTAAGGTATGAGTTCAACCTGCTGCAGTATCCAGAGCGAAGTTGGGCTATTGTGGTCCGAGTCTCCCGAGGCAGACGAAGCTCTGTGTCGTCAAGTCTGGTGGTGGTGTGCCCAGAACAGCATTCACAATTCGAGAGTGCATAAAACTCGACACTGACTCTTTGTGAATGCCGTTCAAGGACTGTCGGTAAGCTGCCGGGTCCAGAGGTTGTTTTATGAACCTCTGGACTTCGTGCGTCAGTTCATATAGATGCCTTTTGACGTGCCGTGGCGAGAGTTCTTCTGCATACAGATGTCAGTTCGGGTGCCCACGACGGTGACACCCTACAAGGAATTGCTTGCAGAGCATTGTGTTATGCTCCTTAATCGGGCGACATCAGAAGGCATCCTATCGCTGTCCTAAGCGCCGTGTTTTGGCAGGTCTTCAGCTTCATACACTACGTCCTACTAGTCTCCGCCGACCACACATGCGCTGCATAGTTCAGAACCAGCCGGTCAATTGCCTTTTACGTTGCCAACAACGTTTCTTTATTTTTACTCCAGGTTATTCGGGTTATTCACCGTTGGAATTGGTTGGTCATCGACGTGAATACCCAGTTGCAGTCTGACCTCCTTCGTCCAAGTGGTGAAAAGCGTTGCTGAGGATTTTGTAGGGGAGAGGGTTAGGCTCCGAGCAGTAAAGAAGCGAGAAAGATCGGCGACATAACCGTTTACTTTCGAGCACAAGTCATCAATTCCGTTCCCGGACGCCTTTATCGAGCAATCGTCAGCATAAGAGGCAATCGAGACTACCTCTGGTGGTTGAGGGAACTTAGAAATGTATAAGTTGAACAGTAGTGGGGAAAGGACACCACCCTGTGGTAGCCCGTTTTATTTGCCTAGGTTTGCTCGATTTGTCTCTAAAGATTACTGACGAGTGTCGCCCACTCAGATAATTCGCCGACCACCGTTTGAGTCCCTGTGGGAGAGAGAAGGCTCTATGCCTTCTAGTAGTGTTGACTGGCTGACGGTGTCGAACGCCTTGGACAGGCCCGACGCTACTAGAATATCTCATTAGGGTGGTTTGGGTTAAGGCCCCGGGTTATCTGGGTGTTTATGGCGTTAAGTGCTGTTGTTGTGCTGTGCACTTTGTGGAACCCATGCTGATGCATCGCTGGGGTCAAGTGGTTTGTGTAGTGCGGGAGTAGAAGGGCCTCTAGTGTTTTCGCTACCGGGGAAAGGAGAGTTATCGGGCGATAGGACTCTCCTTTGTTGGACGGTTTCCCCGGTTTAAGCAGTGGACCTCTCTCCCCATTTTCAAGACGTCTGGAATGATGAGAGTGGACATAGACCGGTTGAGGACCTTGCTTAAATATTTCACTCCAGATAGAGCTTCGTCTGCCTCGGGAGACTCGGACCAAAATAGCCCAACTTCGCTCTGGCTACTGAAGCAGGTTGAACTCATACCTAATCAGAATAAGTGCAGATGTGCATGAATCCGCGGCATGCGGAGAGACGCCCCATGACTCGAAGCATTTCTTCGTTTGTCCACTGAACCCCACCCTGCTAACGCCCCTGTCCTTATGGACAGACCCCATAGAGGCTGCACGCTTCCTGGGTCTACCGCTAGTAGAGCTTGACGACAACGATTGAGGGACTAACCGATCTGGGCGGAGTTGTTGTAGCCGGTACAACAACAATCAGTCTCTTTTATTTCTAAAATATGACTCATGTCAATATCCAATATGCGCAACCATGAAGAAATAAAATTTTTTAACAAAGTTTCGCAAATTGATTACTTTTATCTCCTATGGTTGAGAAATAAGAGACTGATGCTTTGCATTAATGCGTTTAATGACAGGTTTTTCTGTCAAATGCAAATCGCAGAAATTGCACAGAGGATAAATAGAGACACGTTCTTTTAATAAAAGTATGTTTTTCTGTTTGAAATTTGTTTGAATACCAACTTATTCGAAAGAAGGTCTTTTTTCAAATGCTATTTCTAAAAAAATAAGAAAGAAGTTCATTATAAGACTGCTATAACTTTATTATTAAAGGTCATATAAATATGGCGGTGATATAGAAATACGCGCATTGAAAATTCATGTACACATATGATAGGAATCTTGGAAAATTGTCTTTTCTCGAGAGAAGTTGTTTTGTCAAATGTCCACAGATACATATATACTGGCGGTCACAACTGTATGAATTTTTTTCATATTTACAATGTTGTTCAAACTAGCTTTTTTATTATCTTCTTATAACAATATTGGCCATGCATTAACCAAAAACCATATGAAGCAAACTTTCAATCTCTATACAGAATTTAGAAAAATTCAACCAACTTTGTTTTGAACTTTGTAATCCGATTTTTAGAAAAATTTGGGTACGCAGTTACATGGCTTATTAAATTGTAGTAAAATAAGTTTTGAGAGTCTAAAAAATCGCATTGATTGACTTTTTTCAAATATAAAAATAAATTTCTTGCGGAAAAAATGAGAATGAAAGTTTGCAAACAAAAATTTAAAAACTCAACGCGTTTTTATAAATTGAACTTGGTATATGAAAAAATCCGGGGAAGCCGTCAGCAAAAAAATATTAAAAATCCATGCTATTTTTTAGCCGCTTAAAACTTGCATTTTATTATATGAATTTATATATTTATCAATACATTTTTTATGTTTTATATAAAAAAAAAGCGCTGCAGCCGAAAATGTGGAATAAATTACCGGGAGATTTTTATTTCCAAATTTTCCTTATACAGCAATAGTAACAGTGAATTCGTTATTGTCATCAAGGGATGTACATATAATATCATAACTGTTTACTGGGTCTTTGCTTATTTTCTTTTGTCTCTACATGCATATTTAAGAGCTTGACAGCTCAACTCCGAAATTTAAATTGTATATGCAATCAAATTAATTTCTATTTTTAATGTGTTAAGTGAATGTGTTTTAAGGCAGTATAACGGCCAATTTCACAACAGCAATTTAAGTGAACAATTTTTTTTTAGGTTTCACGTTTCCATATGATTTTTATTTAAATGACAACTGCTGCCCACTTAAGTAAGAATTAAATATGATTATTTGCAACTCTGTCTACATTTTGCTATCGGCAGTTTCATTAAGTTCAAAGCCATCCATGTCATTTCGAACTGTATAAAATTTACAAAAATTAAACAAAGTTTAATCAGATTATCAAACTTTGTAATACGAGTTTTCATAATAATTCTTAGTATACAGTTTTATAGTCCATTAAATTTTAATATTCAAAATAGCAAGCTGAAGTTGCTAAAAATCCCATTGATTTTTGCTAATTGCTTTTGTTGACCTGTTGCACATTTTCTTTCATATAAACGCTTTATCAAACATACTTTATATGGAAGAAAATGAGTGACGTCGTCAGTAAAAAATAAAAATAAAAAATCAACGGGATTTTTTCGCAGCTTCAAACTTGTACTTTGTTAAATTAAAACTAAATATATTAAAAAGCTGCATACCAAAAATTATAAAAATTCTTATTAAAAAGTTGAATTTTTGTAAATTTTGTACAGGTATGAATGTGGTTTTATTTGGGGTAGTTCTAGTTAGAAGACAACTGCTTAAAAACGTCCAAAAATGTCGGAAGAGGTCGGTCCCTGAAATATTATTAACCATTTATGTTAACAAAGAACTTTTGTTAAATTTATCCCTTTTGTATGAGCAGTTACACTTTTATAAATGAACTGCATATTCACTCCCCACTATAAACTCACTACTAAAATGCTAACGCTTATTGTTTAATGGCAACTATATAATTTTTTCACTACTATATTTAGTATGTTGTAAATAAAAGAACGTACAACATTTTTTCACTTAACACAATTTTTATTACCTCGAATCGCTGGTATTACCAGTTTAATGTACTTTTATTAACGCCAAGAGTATGAAATTCTTACTATTCCTATTTATACAAAATTAATTTGGTCCAACGTTTTCACCAGCAATTCACGTCCACGCTTGGTTTTGTGGTCGTCAGAAGGCATATACTCCATTGCCGTCTTAAATAACCCAAGGAAAGCGTTATGTCCGTGCGGCAACAATGATCCGTTATGTTATTCCAAAACAAAAAAAAAGGTTTGTACAGTTATAGACTCTAAAGCCTGCCAGCGCATCCGCCCAGAGAGCTCATTAAGCACAACCAAGTTTGAGCGACCATTACCCGGAGCTCCTCAAAAATACTCAACATCAAAGTATAGAATGTCACAAATATGAATCATACACACATACAATAGTAATTGCTATGAATGGCTACCGTATAAACTCAGGACACGCATTTGCTTGGAGACTCCGTAGGTTATGGTGGTCATAAGTTCAGCCAGCACATTCCATGGTCC